TCAGGTGCCCTAAAAGGGTCTACACTCCCTCTGCCAAGTAGGGCAGGGGGGCCCCCAGCAGCCGTGCCCATCATTAACATGATCTTACCTACTGTTCCTGCTTTGCCTGGGCCTGGGCCTGGACCAGGGCCTGGACCGGGACGAGCGCCTCCTGGCGGCCCTACTCAGCTCCGGGGCACAGAGAACAGGGAGCTAAGCATAGGTGGTGACCTAACACCCCATGACAAGGGCATCAAGAGGACAGCTGAAGTACCTGTGATCGAGGCCAGTGGGCAGGACCCACCAGCCAAAGCAGCGAAGCCAGATACCGAAGACACAGCGAGTGATGCCAAAAGAAAACGGGGGCGCCCTCGAAAAAAATCAGGTGGAAATGGGGAAAGGAATTCTGCATCTGAGAAATCAGCAGCAGCCACGGACTCCACCCAGTCCTCAAGGTTACCATGGGAGACATGGGGCTCTGCAGAGAAAAGCTCCTCAGCTGGAGGGGCAGAGACGCCAGGGCCTCTGGGAGAGACTGAGAAGGGAGCAGTGCTTGCTCAAGGTCGGGAAGACGGTGTTGTTTCCAAAGGAGGAAAGGGCCCTAGTTCCCGGCATGCCAAAGAAGCAGAAGATAAAATTCCTCTTGTCACCCCAAAAGTGAGTGTCATCAAAGGCTGTAGAAGCCAAAAGGAGGCTCTTCAGTTGGTAAAGGGAGAGTTAGACACTGCAGCACAGGGTAATAAAGACTTAAAGGAGCACGTGCTTCAAAGTTCCTCATCCCATGAACATAAAGACCCCAAAGCAACACCCCCATGAAAGGTCTGTGGAAAGCATTATTTATATCTATATGTTAATTCTACCTGTCTGCCTAGTAGGGGCCCTTCTCTGCACTTGCTCTTATTTGGCTGTTCCTTCCCTATCCAAGTCCATTCTTCCCTGTGTAGACAGTTGAGTCACCTAGTCTTACATAGTGCCTGGTTGCTGCCTCTGACCTTTCCAGCTCGTTACCCTTGGCTTTAGTGCAACCAATAAATCTGTAGTGACCTTCTTACCAGGATCCCTGCCATCCTATAGAAAGATAGGGCTAGGGTAAGTACGATGAATGTATAAGTTAGGGATCTTTTGGTTTTAAGTCATAGAAAACCTAACTCAAACTGACTTAAAACAAAAAGGATTTATTGGTTCATGAAACTACAAAGTCCAGAGGTAGTGCTGGCTCCGTGACGCTTAATCCAGTGGCTGAGTATGTCTCTAAATAGCTGATTGAGTGTTTTGCTCACTGCTCCACCTTCTGTAGGATCAACTTAAACCTGGGGCACCTCACGGCTAGCAGCATGCCTAAGATGACATGTTTTCGCGTTTATGTCCAGAGAGGACATCTTTGTGACAGTAATGCAAGCAAAAAGCCTTGAGATTCGCTCTGAATAGGCCAGCCAGGGTCACATGTCCACCCTGAGCAATCACTGTAGCCAGAGGATGGTATATGCTAATTTGTATGCTAATTCTACATCATGGACTACATCTTTGGGGAAAAGGTGGGATCAGCCTCCACAATCTCATAGGTTCTCCAGATGAGACCTTGGAGGGAGCTGCTGGGCAGGGAACTGACACTCTGCTGCTACTATGAAGTCCATGTAGTTTTGGTGCACTAGGTTGAGATCAGCTGTTTTCCTTTTTTCCTCAGTTTTGCATTTACTGCAGCTCTCTCTTGTTCTAGTCTCAGAGGAAGGAATGGGAAGTCACTCTCCTTTGGGAACTTTCTCTTCACTCTCATTTAGATGGCAATCCCTCTTTTCCCTCCATTTCTGTCTAAGAGATGGAGCTCCTTCCTTTTCCTGTTTCTGAGCTTTTGTTTTCTCCTCCTCCCTTCCCTATCCACCACCCTGCTGCCTCTTGGACCAACCAGAGTGAAAAATTTACTTCCTAGTCATTTCACTAAGTTCATTCTGTATCTCTCCACCAGGTGTCAGTCTCTTGTTACATATATAGAGAGAGACTTAGCCAGGACTATGAAGTTGAGGCTACATGTGTGGAAGAAGGCAGTTCTGCATATCAGAGATCACCAAAGGGAAGGGAATCTAGCCACTCTTTGTATGTCCTTGAGAAAGGCAGTAAACCAACCAATATTTGCTGAGGACCTACTTTGTCCTCTATATAGGGTAGCTTCTGTCAGGGAATCTTGGTTCTTCCCAAGAAATAGATATTCTTTCAGGGAAACTTAATTCATTTGTTCATTTATTTCTATCACAACAGATTTTTAAAAATTATAATATGTAATATTTGATATCTAAAAAATAAGTAACATGAATAAATTATGAAGTATCATAGTAAAATAAGTATCTATGACCCATCACTCAATTTACATATTAAAACATTAGAAATACCACTGACTGTGTATGTCCTGTCCCCTGCCTCTCCTTAGAGGCAACTACTTCCTCGATTTTGTGTTTATTAATTAACTGCTCTACATGTTTTTAAAAACATATGTATACTTCAAAAATATGTTTAGTTTTGCTTGTTTTAACTTTACAAAAATGTTACACTCTAATAGCCCCCTGCAATTTGCTTTTTCCCCCCACTTACCATTGTTTCTAAGGTTCATCCATGTTATTGTTCACTCATTTTCACCCGTATACTATCCCATCAAGCGCATTAACCACAAGTTATTTATCCATACATCTATCAATGATATTTGGGCTGTTTCCAATTTTCTGCTATTACAAACAATGCTGCTATGAACATTCTTGTACATGTTAGTGCCTTTGTTTTTAGTAAGATTTATAATGAGGTTTCTAAGATGGTACTTTTTGGTCTGTATACCCTCTGAGTTGGGGACTGTTCCCTTGTCTTATTCTCTGGAAGAATGTACCCCAGATTGAAATGAATTGTTCCTTGAAAGTTTGGTAAAATTCACCTATAAAGCCATCTGAGCCTGGTGTTTCTTTGTGGGAATAGTTTTATCTATTGGTTAAACTTATTAATAATCACAGATTACTTGGGTTTTCTATTTCTTCTAGAGTCCATTTAGGTGATATGTTTCATTAGGATTTGGTACATTTCATGTCCTTTTTTTTTTACATGATGTTCGTGTATTTCTTCTATTTTCTTTTTTGCCTCTGTTCTTTGGGTAGTCATGTTCACCTTCTCATTTCTGTTTATTTAACCTTTTTTTTCTCCTTCATCAATTGCACCAGAAATTTGTTTATTTTACTTGTGTATCTTCAGATATTATTTTAGGCTTTGCTGAGTCTCTCCTCTATATATTTGTTTTCCACTTCATTAATTATGGATCTTAGCAGTAGTATCCCCTTCCTTCTGTTTTCTTTCAATTTATGTTCTTTTATAACATCTTAATTCATCGTTTTTTTTCTTTCTTCATGACATAGCATGTATGTGCACATGAGAGTGAGAAAAAGATTGATGAGCTCCTCCACAGGGTCTGGTCAGGCTGCAGTCCCTTTCTCCAGTCTTCCAGCCCTCCAGTCCTCTGGTTCTTGGGTACTTGTTATGTTCCAGGATAGCTGGGCCAGGGATTCCAGCTATGGTCGCCATGTGGGATCCAGCTTCTCTTGAGCAGCTTTATTTACACACTGTGCCATGGCACTAGCCCACATCTTAATATCTGACACTTAACTGATTAATCTTTAGGCTGTCTTCTATATTTAGTTTTCAACACCCTGCTTTTCTGTATTTAACAGGATTTTTGTGTTGTACAGTATTTTTATTATTATTTAGTTCTAAACATTATCAATTGCCTTTGTGACTTTTTTGACTCATGTAGGAAAGTTCTATAAATTTCCAAATGTCTGGAAACTGGAATTTTTCTTTTTTATATTGATTTGCAGTTTAGTCATTTGTGTTCGGAGAATGTAGTGTCTGTGATGTCAATTCTTTCAAATTTGTTGAGATTGTTCATTTATATTATGTAACTTAACTTAAATGTCTGAATCTGTTCTGTTTTCTGCTAACTCTGGCCCATATAGTGTGTATCTTTGTATATTTAGTAATTTTTCAGTTTTTAACTCATATTTTGTTAAACTTAATCTATGGGAATCCTTAGGACCTAAGCTGGGGGTACTTCCCTCCTGAAAGGATCTGCATTTGCTTCTTCAGGAGCCAGGGAGTGTCCTGACCTAGGACTACGTCAGCCCCTTCAGGATCAATTCAGGAGTCCCAGGTTGTTCTCCCCTTCCTTGGCTAGGCCCAAAGTTTAGACTTCACTCACAGTGTTGTTGACATTTGTCCGCAGGGCAAACTTCTACTGCTGCCTGTTGCTTTCCTTTACCTAGGTTTCAGCTTAACGTTACTCTTTTTTTCCTTCGTGATTTCCCTTATTTCCTAATGAGCCCAGCAATGTGCTAAAAATTAAGTTTGCTAGAGGCATCAGCAGGTGGCATGGTGGTTAAGGCAGCTGGACTCTCACATGGCTCTCTCTTTCTGTCTCTCTCTGATCAACTTTTAAAAAATAAAATTGGGACCACCAGGTAGCATGGTGGTTAAGGTGCTGGACACTACCACATGGCTGACCATGGTTCAAGTCCTGGACCTGGCAGCTTGTTTTCTCACTTTCCCTCTCTCACTCTCTCTGTATCTCTCTCTGGTCAAATTTTAAAATTAATGGAATGAATAAATAATTATTAAAAATAAAATAATGACAGGACCAGCAGTTGGTGTAATGGCTATGTCGCTGGACTCCCATGTAGCCAATTGCAGTTTGAGTCCCGGACCTGGTGGCTCAAACTCATTCTGGGTGTGACCCGAGAGGAGAATGGAGAAGGGATTGCGGCATGGCCATCCCCCTTGAGGGGTGATTTCTCACTTTCTGTCTCTCTCTTTCTGGCGAGTGCATGCATCCTATAGCAAAAAATAAATCTCAATAAAATAAAATAAAATAATGACAATAAGTAAAATGTAAAAAAATTACTTTTGCTATAATTTATCCAGAATCTAGTATTTTTTAAAATACCCAAGCTCATCTCTTCATATCTTCACTATCTATAGAGATCTCTATACCCACAGACCTTCCTAAGATTTCAGACACAATGTACCCTTTCAGACATACCTATTTATCATTGGTATTGATATTAGGATCAACACAAAAATCAGAGTGATATCTACTGAATGGTTTTCAGAAAACGAAATCTTTGAACTATCTTCTTTTTTTTTTTTTGGAGAGGTTTTTGCTATAGGGCGCGTGCGCTCACCAGACAGACAGAGAGACAGAAAGTGAGAAATCACACCCCGGGGGGATGGTCACACCACAGTCCCTTCTCCTCCATTCTCCTCTCGGGATCTTGGGCATGCACGCACATGCACCCGGCGTGAGTTTTAAGCCACCGGGTTCGGGACGCAAACCGCGGTCGACTATGTGGGAGTCCAGCGACATAGCCATTACGCTAACTGCTAGTTCCCCAAAAAAAAAAAAAGAACTATCTTCTTGAAAATGAATTTTGGGCTCCAAGCTTTTATTAGAATATGGTAATGTGAATGTTTTCACAGAGACATTAATTTGGCTAAGTTTGGATCTACATAATATTAACCTAAGAAACCAGGTCTGGGTCTATATCTATTAGGTTGTCAAGAAAATCATGGCATATTTTTCTATGCAAAAATGTATAGAACCAATATATGGAACCACTGTCTTTGCCAGTTAGCATTAAAAATTCCGTATAAGAGAAAGATGAAGATGAATATCAGATTTTCTTTTTTTAAAAAAAGAATTACTTATTTATTTATTTTAAAATTTGTCCAGAGAAAGTAAAAGCAAGAAAACAAGCTGACTCGAACCATGGTCAGCTATTTGGGAGTCCAGTGCTCCAATCATCACGTCACCTGCTGGCCCCAATCAGATTTTTTTGATACATAGTAGTAGAAAGATGACAAGATGAAACCAACGGACAGGTCATCTATTTAAGGGGGAAAAAAATCCAAACTATAAATAATCCTTACCTGCTAGTTATCATAACACAACCTAAAAACAAAACTTGGGCATTTATATCTAAAGATTCTCAATGTGAGAAGCTGCTGTGCAATCTTACAAACATTTCAAAAATTAGTGGTTTAAAGCAATAATCATTTGTAGTTTCTTACAATTTTGTAAATTTTGATTAGGAAAGTTCTTTGCTGATTTTGCTGTGGCTTACTCATGCATCTCAAGACAGTCAGCTAGGTTGGAAGGTTCACGTTGGCCTCATGCACATGTCTAGAAGCTCATTCTAGCTCCTGGCTGGTGAACCTTAGTTTGTTTCCTCATGATGCCCCATCTCCAGTAGACTAGACCATCTTCTAGGTAAGATTCAAGGGAATCTTGACCTTCACTGGGCAAATCAGCAGCACTGGTCTCATAAAGGATTCTATTATGAAATAATCTCCATAACAACATGCCATCATGGACTTTCAAGTCCATAGAAAGGGTTCTAACTTGAGTTAGAGCCAAGGAATAACCCACTTCGAACAGCATTTTCATTATTCCTGGAAGCCTAGAAAAGCTCTTTTATCCACTGTAATTCATAGAAGATAACATTTATGTGTAGCAACTTTTTACTGGCCAAACTAAGTCCAGCTGCTGCTTCTCATGGTCAATGCAATGAGAGCAAGGCTGAAGAAGGGAGTTTAATCTGTAATGTTACAAGGAGTAAGCAAGTACCATCAGACTGTCTCTCTAGTTGTATTTTCATAAAACTCTCTTTCTCTTTATTTGCCAGAGGTCACATGTGCTCCCCAGAGAGACAGATAGGAGAGAGCGAAAGTGAGAAAGCACAGATGGTCATGCCACAATTGTTTCTCCTCCATTTCTGCCTCCTTCCTGGATTTTGGGTACACACACACATGCCCAGTATATATTCAAGCTGCCAGGTCTGGAATTCCAATTGAGCAGTCAGCCATATGGGATCCAGCTGCCTTAACCACCACACCCCCAGAAAGCCCAAGAGAGCCCTTTCTCTTATTCATGCTGCTAGAAATAATCTATTACTGTGATTTTGATATTATTCACATCTTGTTTTGTGGGGGTTTTTTAGAGGGTTTTTTTTTTTTTTCGGTTATCTCATTATTCTTAAAATGTGCTATAGGGCATATGCACTCATTGAGAGACAGAGAAGGACAGGGGTAGAAAGTGAGAAAGCAAGCTGGCAGGTCCAGGACTGGAACTGTGATTGGCCGTGTGGGAGTCCAGTGCCTTAATCAGTGTGACACCCGCTGACCCTACCTCTTGTTTTTTAAGAGTCAGGCACTTAGTAGAAGTTAGCTTACTTTGGGACCAGCAGTTAGCGTAATGGCTATGTCACTGGACTCCCAGTAGTCGACCGCGGTTCATGTCCCAGACCGGGTGGCTTAAAACTCACGCCGGGTGTGTGTGCATGCATGCCCAAGATCCCGAGAGGAGAATGGAGGAGAAGGGATTGCAGCGTGGCCATCCCCCCGGGGAGTGATATCTCACTTTCTGTCTCTGTCTGTCTGGCGAGCGCACATGCCCTATAGCGAAAACCTCTAAAAAAAAACAAAAAAGAAAGAAACTAGCTTACTTAGACTCAACCAGAGTTTGACCAGAGAGAGAGGGTGAGAAAGAGAGAGAAAGTGAGAAGTAAGCCATCTGGTCCAGGACTTGAACCATGGTCAGCCATATGGAAGTGTCCAGCACTTTAACCACCACACTACCTGCTGGTCCCTCAACTTTTCAAACATTCTAGTTGAGACAGACAAGTTCCCCTTATTTGCAGAGGATATAGGTTGTTTGATCTGATAAACAAGAAGGCTAGTAAGTGACTAATGGATGGGTATATATAGTGTGGACATGCTGAACAAAGGCATGATTCATGTCACAGGTGAGATGAGGCCGGACAGCATGAGATTTCATCCTGCTATTCAGAACACTGTTCAGTTTAAAACTTATGAACTGCTTATTCCTGGAGCTCTCTATTTACT